TAGGAAGGAAGTGCAAAAGTGTGGAAAAGCATACTTGACTGAAGGGAAACAAGTGTGGAAACATGTCAGAGACTTAATATTTTGCTTGAATCTCAGAAAGATACCTTGAACATTAATTTTTCCCAGTTTATTTGACCACAGACCTTTCACCTCAACTACCGCCTTTCTTAAGCTTCCCCTGGACTTCTGGACTTGTGTTATAAGGGATGTCATTGGACAGTATTAAAATAGGGAATCACATACAAATCAGTATATGGGCCAAAAAAAACCCCAAAAAACAAGAAGAAACCAAACTATGTATGTTGGTGATATCGGTGGGAAAAAGTATCCTTTTTGGAGTTTCAACGATTTCAAGAACATACATTAAAAGAATTTGAGAATCCTCATTGTACTTCTAATATTTTTCTCCAGAGATGAGAGAACAGAAATAAGAATCTGTGTGAATTTGTCATCCACAGTTGGATATTAGGGTGAAAAATTTGGAGAATATGGGACATTTTCAGGAAAGCTCCATGGGGGTGAAGAAGATTATGAGTCCGAGGCAGTAAGTCATTACATTGTCATTATGTTATTAAAACTTAAAGTAATTTTTTTCTACTTGAATTCCACAGAGAAAAAGCTGCTTGTGATTAGGGGCTAGAGCCAGGGAAGTACAGGAGGAGTGATCTTGCCTTCCTTCTACTTGAAGGTGTCATCCCTTGTGTCTGTCTCCCTCCAATTAAAGGTAGGGCAGAAGCCTTACGTCACTTGTGAAATGGTAGCACCTCTCACCACCTGTAGCACATAGTAGGCACTTTTTTTTTTTTAGCTGAATTGAACTAAGAGTATCTGAATAAATGGTTTGGGACTCGTGTTCTTACAGTGCTGTGTTTACCAGAATGGCAGGGCCAGAGCTCCCTCTTCCTCCTTGAATGGATAAACTAGTGTAAGGGGAGTACTCCTTTCCTTAGGGTGATTGTTCACATTGTCACGTTGTCTTTTTTTTTTAATTAATTAATTAATTTATTTATACAAGCACTGGGTACAGTCAGAAGCGTGGGAGGGAGGGTGAGAGAATTCACCAGAGCCAGAGTGGGGAACAGAACAGGCAGACTTGACGAAATACACTACTGAGGGGAGCAGCGGGCGCGGCAAGAGAGGTCTGCACACCATGTGTCACATGGTCTTTTCTAGGTGTTTTGCACTGTATCCCCAGAGTAAATCCTGCAACATATTCCTTTAAACGCCCATCAGCTTTTCTTTATTGTCTATGGTTGTGCATAAGGGAAGGCGGCCTCTCAGGTTGCAAAGCTTACATTTCTGGGAAAGGAGGCGAAAACTGGTAGAACAACTGAGCAAGAAATTTTGATAGCCTCTATTTCCAGGGAATTAGGGCACTTAGTGGTAACATCCAGAATGATAAAATTGAGATAAGTACTCAGGAAAATCAGGTGACATAAGAAAATGACTATGAACCCTGACAGACTGACAATGGCTCAAATCCTACCCCCAAAATTTAGTTCCTAATTGACCTTGGGGGATATTTCTTATATTTTCTTTGCCTCTGTTTGCTCCTGTGAATTGGGATTACAGCCGCCAACTCAAAGGATTGTCATGAGAACTGAAGGAGATACCATATGTAAGGCTAGGTTCTTTCCTTACATTTCTCATGGAACCCTGCGCTTCTCTTTCACAGCACACATTGTAGTTTGTAATTCAGTAACTGTACAACCAGCTCTTTTCTGTCTATCTTCTCTGCCTTCTGTGGGAGATAAGCTTTTTGAGGGAAGAACCACAGTTCTCCTAATTGCAGTGGGATCGCAAATGAGTGGCCTGTCCCTGAGGAAATCCTGACTGGAGGAAACCAAAGCAGTATAGGCACACACTCCCCTGTTCTTAAACATGGTTTCCTTTCTTTTTCATACCCAGAAACCTGACAGTTTTCTTTTCCTTGCTTTGTTCCTCTGTGAGTTTTGCTAATTTCTGTGCTTTTTTTTTTTTTTTTTAAATTTTCTAGAGGCATGTCTTATTTATTTATTTGTTTGTTTGGTTGGTTGGTTTATACATGCACTGGGTACAGTCAGAAGCACGGGAGGGTGAGAGAATTCACCAGAGCCAGAGCAGGGAGCAGAGCAGGCAGAAGGACCGAAGTACACTGCTGAGGGGAGCAGCGGGCGGCAGGAGAGGTCTGCGTGCCATGTGGGACCCTCGCCGGTGGCCAGGAGTAGCTTCGCAACCCAGCGCTCAACCGCTGTGCCACCAGGGAGGCCCTAATTTCTGTGCTTATTTTACCACACATGATATTATTGGCAGAGTGCTTGCTAATAATACTTGCTAGGTTTTATTCACATGTAGCATGGACTATCTCAACACCAAACTGTTTTTTGAAATTAAATCTATATTTTACCTACTTATTTTCCTGATGTTACATTGCATTGCATTATGTAAGTTTCAGCTGTTCATCATTGAGAATCAACATGTGCACAGCTAGATTTGCTTCACTGTTTAAAGTTCAATTCCATACTTTGCCATATCATTTTCCCTCCTTCCCCAACTTCCCCACCTCCAACTCTCCTTCTCTTTTCATTTCTGATGGCCTCTAACTGGTCTTACAGTACAAACATCTATTTTGTTTTATATATTTAATCCATCTGTTTGTTTTTTCTATATAGCATATACAAGTGAAACCATATGGTATTTATCTTTTCCTAATTTATTCCACTGAGCATAATTTGCTGTAGATTAATCCATGCTGCAAATATTAAAATTTTATCTTTTTCACAGTTAAATAGTATTTCACCGCTCATGTGTATGGAATATACATATATATATAAATAAGTATGATGTGTAATATATATATATATATACACATACACATACATCTTTACTCATTCATCATCAGATGAGCACTCAGGTTTCTAATTCTTGGTTATTGTAAATAGAGCTGCAATAAACATGGGCAGGGGTGCATCTGTCTCTTTGAATTAGAGTTTTTGTATTTTTTCAGTAAATACCCTAAATGGGATAACTGGAGCCTGTGGAATTTGTATTTTTAACTTTTTGAGGTATTTCCATTCTGATTTAATAGTTGCACCAATTTGTGCTCCCACCTCAGTGTCCAAGGGCTCCCTTCTCTCCAAATCTTCTCACTGGTGTGAAGTGATATCTCATTGTTGTTTTGATTTGCATTTCCCTAATTAAAATGATGATGAGCATCTTTTCACATGGTTTTGACATTCTGCATGTCTTCTTTGAAGAAGTGTCTACTTAGTTCCTCCGTTCATTTTAAAATTGTGTTTGCTTTTTCTTTTTTTAAAAAAGATTTATGTATTTATTTATACAAGCACTGGGTACAGTCAGAAGTGCGGGAGGGTGAGAGAATTCACCAGAGCCAGAGCGGGGAACAGAACAGGCAGACTGATGAAATACACTGCTGAGGGAAGCAGCGGGCGTGGCAGAAGAGGTCTGTCACGCCATGTGGGACCCTCGCTGGCGAACCGGCGCTGCAGAGGCTGCGGGCAGTTTCGCAGTCCAGCGCTCAACCGCTGCGCCACCAGGGGAGGTCCTGTGTTTGCTTTTTTTTAATTGTTGACCTTTAAGGGTTCTTTGTATATTTTGGATGTTAATCCCTTGTCAGTTGTGTGATGTGCAAATATCTTCTCTCATTCAGTAGGATGTCTTTTCATTTTGATAAAAGTTTCTTTCTCTGTGTGGGAGCTTTTTATTTTGACATAGTCCCATTTCTTTATTTTTGGTTATTCCCACCCTCCCCATCAGTTTTCAGAGTTAAGTCCCCAAACACACCTCTGCAGCTTGTATTAAGGCTACATCACTTATGCTTTCTTCTATGTATTGTATGGCTTGAGGTATTATAATTAGTCTTTAATCAATTTTCAATTAATTTTTGTGTAAAGTATAAGATAGTAGTCTTGTTTTATTTTTTTGCATGTGGTTTTCCATTTTCCCCAACACTCTAAATTAAAGTGACTTTCCTGTTTCACTGTAAGCACTTGGCTCTTTTGTCATAAATTTTTGTCCATAACATCAAACTCTGTCTTAACTAGAAACATGGTCCTTACAGCTATTCTTAAAATGGAAGTTTTCCTAATTTGCTTCAGAGATTTCTGGGTTGGCTTATATTATTTTGAATACTTTTTCATTCATTTTGCTTACATTTATAGAATGAAGTCAAGATTAACTTGCTATTGGTAACTTTGGATCTCAATGCGATTGCACTGTTCATTATTTCATGTGTTAAGAAACGTAAGCCTTATATATATCTACATTATATTTATCCAAAGGCAGAAGGAAAATTAGATCTCATCCAACCCATTTTGTGCTCATTATACTCATTTTCATGTTGACTGACTCCTTTATGAGTACAACAATTATTCCTTGATTTCATCAACTCATGACCACTAAAATAGATGACAGTTTTAGGTTTGTCTTCTGCTTGCATTCACCATGAGGGCTTGGAAGAACTGCACATATCCAGGAGAGGAGTTTCCATGGAAACCTGGACAAAGGCAGAGCAAAATAATTCTTCAAGGCCCGCAAGAAAAGAAAAATTCCACCTTGCTTTTTGTTTGCAGTTCTATATCTCTGGAGCAGTTCAGCCAACTGGCACTGTCCTTGCGCTCTAGGAATCCCTGTTTGAAATTTATATATAGCATTATGCATCTCTAAAATCTGCTAAATAGGATTTGGTGAGTATGACTAAAAGAAGGTATAAAGGTATTTTTACAATACGATTTTTTAAGCATACATTTAAGCAGCTCTGAATTTATGAATATGACATTGCTTTTCAAATTAAAAAATCTTGGAAAAAGATCACAGAGAGTTTTAGAGCAAATGCATGGAATCAATGATTAGAAGTAATTTGGTATTTCAAAACTGTTTGCTACTTGAAAATAAAGAGCAGCTCAAATGATTTCTGATGAATTTGTGGATTATATATCTAGAATAAAAGGATGTCGTGGGGTTCCTGTGAATTCTTTTGAAAAATGATGTCTTTCCCATAGGTTGCAAGGTTGCAAAGCCAGCAGACTGCCTTATTTATGTACCTTCCTTTGTACTTAGCTAAGTACTTTGAAGCTATTTTGAGGATTGGATTGAGGTAAGGATAAGCACCCACCGTGCTCTCCCACAGAAAGTTCTATAGTGCCATATTCAGAAACAGAATCCTCAGCTTCTGAGGCACACTGTGGCCACTATTTAATAAATTTATTGCACAGTACATACTTCTCAAAAATATATTCACAATTCAATTCATTCTTTCACCAGATAATTTCTGAATAATTATTGCACACCAGGTACTATGCTAGGGGCTTGCCCTGAAGGTATCCTTATAGGACTGCCAGATTTTAAAAAGAAATAACACAAAAGAAAAACACAACAAAATGTGACAATATTCCATGCTGTGCAATGCTGTGGGATTCAGGGCAGTCCAAAGCGGGGCGACATCTCACTTTAGTATAGTGGTCATACTGGGCTTAGCCAGGTAAGGCCTTCAAAGAGGAAGTTTTCTTTTGAGCCCTGAAGGCTGATTAATGTGAATCAGGCAGACAAGTGGGGGAAGGAACACATCAAGAGAGGAAACAAATATAAAACCATAGGGATATGTAGGGATGCCAGTATTTGAGGCACTGAGCATAGGTCCTAATATCCTCATAGAAAGAGCAAAGAAAGGGAGTGTGGAGAAGAGCAGAAGTCAGGCCCTCTAAAGGCTTGCAAAGCTAGAGTATGAATTTTATCCTAAAGGGGAGCAAACCACTGAGCAATTTTAGCAGAAGAATGACATGTTAAAGCTGTGTAGATGTTCTGGTGGATGTATTGAGGATGGAGACCAGTTGAGGGAAATAACCTAGTGAGGGAAATAACCTAGTGGTCATGAAAGGAGACCAGTTGAGGGAAATAACCTAGTGGTCATGAAAAAATGGTGAGGACTCAGACTGAGGATGTGGTTATGTTGTTTCCTCATTGAGAGAACACACTTTTTCTTGTGGGATACCATACCCAATTCCCAGTGTGCTGTTGACCAGCTGGCATGGAAACTGAGTTTTCAGTTAACTCTTATTTCATTGTATTAGGCCACAGTTTCTAGGTAAAGGCTGTATGGTAATACCAATAAATCTTCTCATATTACCTCATCCTGTTGCTGTAAAAAAGGAGTGGCTGCTCAACATGGATGGCGCTGGAAGGGATCATGCTCAGCAAAATAAGCCAGAAAGAAAAAGAAAAATACCGGATGGTCTCACTCATAGCAGGAATCTAGAAAACTTAAATAAGGGACCAGGAAAATGAATAACTATAAGAAAGTGAAAATCAAAATCAACAAAAAACTATGAATCAGAGACACTCTATGGGGGGTAGGGGGCGGGAGGGGAGGGATTGGGGTCAAAATAAGGGGGTTGCAATTGTATGGGGAATATAAAAATAAAATTTATTATTAAAAAAAAGGAGTGGCTGCTGTTTTTTAATTTTTTTAATTTTTATTTTTTTAAAAATAGTGTGAATGGGGCCTCCCCGGTGGCACAGCGGTTGAGCGCTGGATTGGGAAGCTGCCCGCAGCCCCTGCGGCACCGGTTCGATCCCTGCCTGTTCCCCGGCCACCGGAGGAGGGTCCCACATGGCGCGCAGACCTCTCCTGCCACCCGCCCGCTGCTCCCCTCAGCAGTGTACTTCGGTCCTTCTGCCTGCTCTGCTCCCCGCTCTGGGTCTGGTAAATTCTCTCACCCTCCCACGCTTCTGACTGTACCCAGTGCATGTATAAGCAAACAAGTAAATAAATAAATAAATAAACAAACATGCCTCTATTAAAAAAAATAAAATAAAATAAATCCAGAAAAAAAAATAGTGTGAATGATACCATGAGAATGAATGAGACATAAGTAAATCTGTGGGTGGTATCCAAGTGTGTTTTCAGAGCTCTTCTGATGAGTAGCTTTACATTAGGACTATTCTACATTAAAAAAAACAAACCCATGCCCAATGTACTGAAATAACTGGATCTGTTCTCTCTAAGATACTCAGCTTTCTCACAAGGCTTCCAAGAAATAGTACTGAACATAGAGTTTTGTATATATCATGAGGTATTGCCCTCATCCTGTCACAGCTGTGCATTTTGGGTAAATCTTCAAATGAGAGAGGCAGCAAAGTTTCATTGCCCTAACACTTAGTCTGTAGCTCAATCTGAGTGAAATGCACATTTTTTTTAATAATAAATTTTATTTTTATATTCCCCATACAATTGCAACCCCCTTATTTTGACCCCAAACCTTCCCCTCCCCATCCCCACCCCCCATAGAGTGTCTCTGGTTCATAGTTTTTTGTTGATTTTGATTTTCACTTTCTTATAGTTATTCATTTTCCTGGTCCCTTATTTAAGTTTTCTAGATTCCTGCTATGAGTGAGACCATCCGGTATTTTTCTTTTTCTTTCTAGCTTATGAAATGCACATTTTGATTGAAAAAAATGAGACTGTGTAGGCAAGAATGGAGAACTAATCTGGAGGACAGACGGGCTGGTAAGCAATTGTTGAGGGGTTAAAAAGAAAGGGAGGGTACAGTGGACTTTAGGCTACACATGCAGGTGTTGATAAAACAGTAATACTATTAAGCAAAATTAGTATGAGAGGCAAAAAATCCAAAAAGGTTAAGAGAGTGACTTTAATCCTTGTGCTGGCTGACTACTCAAGAGACCTGAGGCAAGCTTCTTAATCTATTTGAGCTTCCATTCCTTTGAAATGATGACATGGGATTGTTTGGGGAATTATATGAGATGATGCTTATAAGACAGTCACACATCTGCTCAATCTGTATTTTGGAGCATTAGTCATGTACCAGGTAAAGGATTCAAAGGTGCACAAGACAAAGTTTCTGCCATACTAGATTCTAATGGGTGAGTGGGAAGGGAGACATAAAGTGAATAAGTCAATTGCAGATTTGGAAAAGTGCTTTGAAAAAAAATCAGCAGTTTGGTGTAACAGACATGGGATATGTTGTTAAGTAAGGGGTCCAGGGACAGAGATTGAGAATTGGGGGAAAAGCATTTCTTGCTGAGTGAACAACCAGTTCAGAGTCGCTGACATGGGGAAGAATTTGGAAGGATAATAAGCACTTAGCATTTCTTAAATATAGTAAGCGTATAGTAAATAATATGTATTTAGAAATAAGGAGACATCAGTTTGACTATATGGTATGAAAACTAGCTTAACAAAACCCCTCTTTCATTTATTACATACAGTAGTCAGAATAATATTTATACTTGCCACTTAAAAAATATATCTTCATATTTAGGAATGTAAATAAAATTGTTCATGGAAAGGGAGAGGATTTCTCTAAAGAGTGTTGGGTTTTATTATCACTACTGGGAACTTTGTGTTTAATGTTCTTCTCAATAGTTTTGGAAGTATATATTTTTCTCCAGTTATTTTCTTAATTTATTGGAATCTGACAATCTTAGCATCAGTGGATCTTTCAAAGATCGGAAACTATTGAGTACGTTTTTGAAGTCTGAAATTCATATAACCATATATAGAAAACTGTGTGATCCTTCATGCCTTTAGTAGAAATTTCTATTATTAGTCACTTTTGCATTTTTTCTGTGTGGTTATAGAAGATATATCATTTAAATTATCAAGAAATGATTGCTAATATAGAGTACTAGGCATTTTTAAAATTGCTAATGAAAAATGTTACACAGGGGAATGGTTCAGTCACTACATCATCCTACTGTTCATGCATCATGACTGAGAATTTGCAGTATTGCTTGTGACGGAATGATTATAAACAACTTCTGTACACATGAACAAAGGCATCTGAATTTGATTATAAATGCTAGTTAGGAGATTTTTTTTTTTTTGCCAGTGATTCTACTTATCTTTTTGAACTAGACTAGATAGTGAAAATGAATTGCAAAGATAGGGTTGCTATATACTCGAGAATGAACATGTGACAATGTTAAATATAAATAAAGAATAATGCATGGAATGCCTTAAAACTGTTAATGATATAAAGTAAACTTTAAATATCAAACAAATCATAAAAATAGCTAAGCAGACACCAGAACCACATCAAACAGGGATAGGACTGCTCTAGAATCCAATAAATGACAGCCTCCACGTCTGCTCAGAGTGAATTCTACCAAAGAGCTAATGAAGATAAACAGTCTATTTAAGTGCTGCTGGAAAATCCTCCTTCAGCCAGCAGCTGGCATGACTATTGTCATTCAAAGGGCATAAGTAAGTGTCATATAATTGAGTCATTGAGAAACTGAGATGACACTGAGCTACATTCTCATTAACACTTAAAAAAATTCTTCCCTGGGCTATTTTGTAGATGGTATTTAATAATGATATTAAGCTAAAGAAGAACTGAATGGAGTCAAAGTTTAAGTAGGCCTCAGCTTTTTAATTGGAGGTTCCCAAGGAAGGAGACTGACAGGTGGAGTGTGTTTCTATGAACTGACACTGACAGGATTCTGAATCATCGTCTTTTATAGATATGAGAAACACAAACTTTATGTGTGACAAGGGAGTGCTCTAATCAAACCCAAAGATTGCTATATCCTAGAATACATAGTGCCTTGGAAAATGCCCTCCCCACCTCAGTACGGCAGAGAAAGTGGGTCCTCATAATTTAAAGGAACTCTAGGTGAGAAAGGCGCTCTTTTCCAGAATTAAGTTGAATATTCTCCTTGTACCCGATTTCCTACTTCCTCATTTTACTTCTAGCTTTTATCCATGACTGTTAACTTGGGTGCTCATTCATTCTAATAAGTTGACTTAGTTGGCGTCTTCTAGCCTGGCACCAAAATTGACCTGAACTTTGCTCCTTAATTCTGTCTTCAACACTTGGATTTAATTTAAATCTTTGTCTTTGGAGCTAACTCTACACACTCTTCCCTTTCCAGACTTGCTACACCCTGAAATACTGTACTAAGAGAGTCTTGAATAATAGAGGTTTGAACTCCAGGTGCCACAGATTCTTAAATGAAAAATAAAAATGTTAATTTCTGGATCTTTCAGGTTAAAATATGTTCATAATAGATTCTCAGAATCTTAATGGCTACTCAGATTTGTGTTCAGTGACATAAAGCTCAATGACTAGG